CAACTTCTCTAGGCATCATGTGTCTCTGACTGCTTCTCATGGCTTTCCGAGACACAGAGCATCATTACCTTCTCCCACACACACAAAAGGAAGATGTTTTGTCTTAAAGGAATGTTTTAACTTTTCTTTGCCATCCCTGAGGTGCCTAAATAACACAGTCAAGCCATCCAACCTTGAAGCCATCTTATCCAGCCTTGATTTTTCCAGACCCACACGCGAATATGAAAAGAAATACTGTCTCAAAGTCAATAGGTTTATGTATGCATTCAGGAAGATTTAAGTCTGTGTCAAACACAAGTACTTTCTGTCAGGTTTAGCTGAGTACAATCAAAACTCTTGTCAGATATAAGTCTTTAATTAGATTTATTTTTTTTTCCATGCCATTTCTACAGTAACATTTATATAACCTGTGTTGAACAGGTAATAGAATTCTCCTCGTGGCATATTTACACTCCAACAAGATGCTGTGTCCGTAAATGCACCTAGAGACAGAGTGAATCTGTTGCCACTATCCTACTACCAGGAGCCAAAACAGAAGAAAAAAGGTAAAGCTGTTAGTATATTTTTTCAGCAAACTAAAGAAAAGAGTCAGTCATGAGAGCGAAATGGTTGCCACTCTATGAGAGATAAGAAGATTGCACATCCAGAATGCAAAGGAATTTCATTGACCTGTTGTTGGTTTGAAAAGATAAAAGGATTTCTCTAGAAGTACTTTAAAAATGCATATACACATGCACATGTGTACGCATGTACACATGCAAGGTTAATAGAAAGCTTAAAAAGTTCAGCTAAAAGAAGTTATACCAGCAGGGCTATTATCTCTTCGTGTGACCATGGATGCATTATAGTTGTTTCACTGTTTGTCAAGGAGTTTCTGAATGTCTGGAAAAAGAAGAGACATCCCTGTTAATTAAAGCTGAGAATGGGAGAAATGAATCAGTAAGACATAAAAGGAGGGAGGCAATCAATAAGGAAGGAGGATCTCACTGGTAGGATGCAATTAGATTTCAAGGAAAAAGACACAGTGCGATTGACCATATGATAGCTCCTTGGCTATCATGAAATATTTTACTCGACTTGCTGTGAGGACACAAAAGTGATAATTGTGTCAATCTTGCAGTCAAAGTTTTTAAACAACAGAAAGTTGACACTGATAATTGTATTGAATGGAAAAGAAAAAAAAAAAATAACACAGAGAAGTATTGAGAATCACAGCATCTTTCTTTTAGATATTGGGAGAGAAAAAAAGAATAACAAACCTATTGCCCTGATGACAATTTGGTCTCAGTAATTAACTCTGATACAGAGGAATAAAAGTTGAATTGTCTAGGATGATCTCACATAACACAGCCCAGCAGAACTGTGGACAAAAGTTTCTCCTCTGCAAGCTTAGTAGTAGAGGAAGTGTTTTTAATGAAAAGTAGAAGAATGAGTATATATGAAAAGTAAAGGAAATGTGATAAGGAGTAGAAAAGAAAATGAGATTTCATTTTCTGCAGAAACCACGAGGCAGCCTGTAGCTGACGTGGATGTCTCCGTTTCTGGCCGATGTGGGTGGAGATCCTTTGAAATAGAATGGACCACTGTGAAAGTCTAGGTGAAATGTTTTGACCCAAATCCCATCCTATTATGTGACTTCACATTTTAATATTGAACTCTATTCTGGCTCTGGCAGGGAGTCAGGACACCGCTGTGGTAATGCCTGTCAAATTCATATTAGATGGGGTGGTCTAAAAGCTCATAACTAATTATCAGCTTAGTTGTTTATTAACAATTAATCCAAGCCCTATATTTTTTTATGGAAAATTGGATTAATCTGATTTTCAACTTCCATCAGCCAAATATACCTTCTGGATTATTCTTCACATAGGATCTGGATTTTCTAACTTTTTAAAATTTTTTTCAAATCCTTCAGCACCATATGACAAATGCCCCCGAAAGACAAGCCATCAGGGGCACAGACTGGACTGGGGCAGGATATTAAAGGACATAAATAGAAAGAAGAAGCTGTAAATTACTAATATGCTGACTACTTTCCTTACCTTCACCACTGGGGCGCTCAGGATATATTGCTGCCATTGAGGAAGTCACCTCTGAATCTGAAATGGAGAAATGGCAAGTGTCGTGTTCTTCCTGCAAGATGTTTTCTCAGAGATATTTATTTGTTTCCCTTTCTAGCAGGGAAGCCACAGCAGTTCATTCTACTTTAATTCTTGAAATTAATGCTGTGAGCAGATGAAAAAAGTCACACCTAAAATAATTCCCCATCTGTAAAAATGAGGATAAAGCCTTCTTCACAAGGGTGTTGTACATCCCAATTAAGGGTTTGACACTCTCTGAAACGTCTTCTCTCTCTCTCTTGGCATGGCTTGCTCAGCCCTCAGCTCCCTCCCCGTGTGTTCACACAGGAGCTGATCCTCAGCAACATCTTAGACGCCTTGATTTTCTTTAAAGCTAGTGCCCTAAAGCTCATGGCTTATCATCCAAATTTCTAGTCTCCAACCCTGTAGATCTCAAGTTTTACTCTGATACGAACTTCAGAAGAACCCAGTAAAATATCATATACGTTGGATAACCATTTAAGAGACTTCCTGTAATAATATGCAGCCTTTGGGTACTGTTATGTAATATCTCAGGGCTGGCCAAGGGGGAGGAGGTGCAACCTGCACTGCTGGAGCTGAAGGATCCACACCCAGCCGATGCCCTACATACTGTGCTGTCTGCAGTACTGCATTCATAATATAGCCATCCTTCATGAAACTTTATGGATATTATTTAAAACATTTTTTTTTTCTTTTCCTTCTACTTCCTCTGAGATTCAAGCTGATGTGAATTTGGATATATATTTTTTTTTTCTTTTTTTTTTAGGTTGGTTTCTTCATTTCCTACATGAAATGTGACATCTGTTGACAGCTGGGTGATAATTCTTTGACGGGAAGAGGTTTTTTGGGTGGGAGAGGAATCACATTTGGAGACCATGAAACATTTAACAAATTTGCTTTGGTGTCTCTAGGAGCTTGTGCTGAACAACTTTCATAAAAAGCAGTTAGATTTGTGTTGTACTTTACAGTGTAAAAATAATAACATGACATCTTAGTGAACACTACTGTTGTGCAATGAAAGTGCATATGGACAAAAGATATTTAATGAAAAGTTATTTTAAAAAACTTAAACCTAATTTTAAAAAAACTTTGTTTCTTACAACACTCATCTCATTGAAAAAGAATGCTTTCCTAACAAAATTTTAATGTTAAAATATCCTCCACCATCAAGGGCTAGAGTGAGTGGAAGTTCAGGCTCAAGACAGTTGTTTTTCTTTAAAAACTAATGGGAGAGGGGATGTCAATGGCATCATTTATCGTCACTTCACAAGCACATTGCAGCCTTTCCATGGCCCCACGCTGCAGGACAGGAGTGCTCCCTTTCCTGTCTGTGCCTTCTGCCCACCGCTGGAAATGGCACCAAGTGCAAGAGGGTGGAGATACAGGTTTCCTATTTTATAAACATCCTTCTTACTGAGGGATACCAGCTCTGCCATCCTTCACTGATGTAAATCACAGCTCCAGTAGAATACGCAGAGATGCTCTGGCATAAAACCAGCCTAAGGAAGGGAAGAGTTAGACCACTGTCTCTGAGGAGTTCCTGGTAACATGTTTTTGCCTGTGGCAATCGTTTACTTTTGAGGTCACCTTTGTACAAAATATACTTTCAACAACTTTATGCTGTTTTCCAAGTATTTGGAAAATACTTGCAGCAGTTCAGGGGAGTCAGGACTCTGAAAAAGCAAGTGAGACACCCATACTGTCTTTGAACTATTCCTTCTTCTGCCCAATTGCATATGTACGCGCACTTTAAATGGGATATATTTATCACTAAACCGCTTTTGAAAATCAAGCATTCGACGCGGTTTCACAACACACAGTCTGAAAGTGAGCAGTACTAGTGGTAGTGGTGTAAAGGCACGTCGCGCCAGCCCCCCTTCCCCTTCCAGAGGGTCCCAGTGCTGTGCTGAGACCCAGCTGCGGCCCCCCCACCGACCACCACTCCTGCCAGCCCTTCCTAATTGCTGCCGCCGGCACCTCTTTGCTGCGGGGTTCCTCCTCCTAACAAATGTGAGCGCCTCGGTGAATGTCAGACCAACCCTGTCGGGATGAAAATCGTCAACAAAAAGATGATGATTACAGACTCATTAGGCAAACCTATAGCGAAAGTGCTGTGACCAAATGTTCAGTACTTACAGCGCCATAAATTTTCCTAAATGGTAAAGCAGTGTTTTAAGCAGGCTCGCACTTATTCTGGGTCAGGGTCATTAGGGAAGGATTGTCTCTTGCTTTAACTCATGTGGTAGAAACAGAGGTTGTATATTTTGGGGTTGCTTCATTATGACTTTTAAGAGATGGTCTCAAGCCAAAAGCCTGGATTTGAACTCAAGCTCTGAATCCAGGCTTGCCTGAGGATAGCATCCCTCTAACAGGCAAGAGCAGTGGAGCATGGGAAATGTTTCTTTTGGATTTGAATTTCATACTTCCAGCTGAAAGAGCTGGATCCTTGATTTCTGGTCCACTAGAGACGTACAGTATCTGTACACAGAACAACAAGTCTGGTTTGCACCTCTTTTACATTTGGGGAGCATAGACTCTTTTATAAAGAAAGAGAAGCTTAGTATTTTCACAGCAGCAATTAATATTAAACACGCTGTATATATATAATTGATGGTGATGATGACTGAGTAAATGAACTCTGGGTTTTATTTTTCTTGGAGGAGTTTGTGTGTTTCATCCAAAATTGATTAGTTGCTTTGCCTTGACTTTATTGCACCGTATTGAACTCACTGGCACTGAACTTGCCGCACCTGTGTCTTAGTGGGAATGAGTAATGCAACCTCCACAAAGTGTCATATGAAGGAAATAGCAATCTGGACAGAGAAACAGAGTTATTGATGTCTGTCTTGTAGTAAGCTAAAATGCTACTCACTGCACCCTCCACTGGGTCCTTCAATACTGGAGCATGCTGGACATCACTCAGATATTTTCTTGAAGGAACATCCAAATGGAAAATCTTGGCCTCCTACAAGAAAAGAAAAGGAAAAAAAAAAAAAAAAAAAAAAAAAAGGATTAGTTTTTGGGTACAATTCGGCTATGATTAATAGTAGAAATAGTGAAAATATTTTTTATAGTACTCCATGGGGTCGCCAAGGTTGACACAAGTGTACCTGAATGTTAAATTTGGTCAGTTTTTTCCTGTGTACTGCAATTTTTTGTCAGGTGTATCAGGAGATACTGTTTAGCTCTGGTCACCAGAGGGATAGGCAAAACAAGTTGAGCAATAATATAGACATTTGTGCAGTTTCAACTACTCTTGTGTTTGCTTTTTGAGTGACAAGTGGCAGGAAGCCAACTTTTAAGCTAGTGTTTGGAAGGAAGGGAAGAGTTTATTGTACTCCTGTTCAAAGCATGCCCACGGGTAACTGAATGGAACAATTTACCACTGCTGAAAGGCTGAGAGGGGACATGATCTTTCCGAATACAGCATGGAGCTTAACACTGGGAAGGAAGAAGAGCTGCTTAACTTAAAGACAATATTGTCAAAAGAGTAAACAAAAAAGAATAAAATGTTCATAAATAATTGGAACTGGAAATCGGAAGGTTTTTAATCATTATTGGAGTAAAGTTATGGAAACATTTTTAGATTTAGGTCCACATATCAGCAGAATCTCATTCCTAGAGATGACCCTGCAGTATTTATCTGAGTTCTTTCATTCCTCTCTTGAAAAAGAAAATGAAAAAATGACTCATAGAAATGCTCTATTGACATGGTGTCAGTCCCATGAGCCTGCTGTATTCTGCAAAGAACTAACTATAGCTCTACACTTATCCACCTGGATTTTACTGTTAGATTCACACATTTGCTCTCTCATTTTTTTTTCTTTACTTATATTCCTATATGCAATATCTTTCAAAGATTAAATAAATTACTGTTCAAAAGGTAACATTACAATTCTAGTTATATTCCCAGATTCTTCACTGAGACTCAGTATAACAATGTTGTTTCTAAAAGTGAAAGAATTTGCTTTTTCATAAAATATGTTTATATAGAAAGGCTTTGAAGGAGGAGAAACTTGAAAGACTCTGTAATGCTCTATTATTATCTAGTCCATGAAAGGGTACCACAGTAGCTTACCTTGCCAACAGTGCCTATGATTACCTATTTTTATGGACTTTAGGACATTTGGGGGGAATTAATTAAACTATCAGCCATTTCACAAAATGTTTCTAGGAAAAGATTAAGCTTCATCTGTGAATTTCCTTGAAGTATGTTTGTGTACATACATGAAGCAAAATGCACTTTACAATATTGGGTTGTTATATAGAGCTTTTTTCCCCTAAACAAATACTCTGCAAACGGGCATTTTTGCACCTTTGCTGTTTTTTTTTTTTGCTTGAAGGATTATTTTAGTTACTCTTCGTCATACTCTGTGAATTATTACTTGACTGAAGGACCTGGGAGTTTGTGCAGGTATTTCAGCTGGGGATGTTAAAAAGGAGTTCAGTGTCTTGCCACTGCACTGCTGTCACTACGAAGCTTTCTGAGTCTGCTTCAGCGAGCACACAAGTCCAGAGCAGTATCTGTCCCCACAGCAGATGCTGCTGGATTCATTGGAGCTGTACCCCTCTAGCTGCTGGAGCCTCTGGGGCTAGAGGAATAAAAGGGGGGTGGGCTGGAGAGAGGGGTTGTTGTCTCAGTCCTCCCATATATTGCCACTGTATTCCCCTCTACCTCTGTCAACAAACATATCTCTTACATACTTTAATCACTGGGGATTTTTTTTTAATGAACCATTTTTAAAAAAAAAAATTAGACTCACACACAGACACATATATATATACTGATATTAATCAGACAAGATATTGCATATGCTCCAAGCCATGGAAACTTCTTAGTCTCCAAAGACAGTTACAGAAGTTGTAATCATTATTAAAGGAAAAAAAAAAAAAAAAGAAAATAACAACCTCAAACTGTCAAACCTTCAGAAAGAAGTTTAGAAAGATTTCTGGAGGTCTCTGAAAGGCAATGGGGAATGCACGATGCTCCACTGGGCAGGTTACTCTGCCATGCTCACATGGCAGTGGATGGCACTGAGGAACAATAGCTGGCTACACAAACTATTATTCCACCGAATTTTGACTACTCTTTTGCTTTGAAACAAAGACCATAAATATATGTTCAGAAAACTTTTCTTCTGCCTTTTCTCAGAAGGCTACAGCACAGTGCAGCTCCAGATGGATCCTATCTCGTCTGTATTTATTATACAAGTCTGAAAGAAGGCAGAGCTTTGCACTGCAGACAGGTGCCCATAGTGCCTCATCCTGGGGCTCAGTGGGGGAGGCAAGGGAGGCATAGAACAAACTGGGGAAAAAAAATCACCCCTTTTCAATCTTCTTACCATGACTTTATTTTATTTTAAGAAAACTGCACACTGCCAGAAATCAAGGCATGAGAAACATCTGTGTTTCTTCATTTTTGTAGAACACTTATTCTGTGAGTAATGTCTGATGCACACCCTACACTTATTTTTTTAATATTTTGCATCTTTTTAATTAAAAATATTTCCTCCATCATTTCTTTTTAGAGTGCTGTTTACTTTTCTGCCATTGTAAGTTTATTGAAATTTAGAGGAGGAAAAGCAATAACAGTGAAATATTGAGGTGAACGGGTGAACTAAACCCTGTAAAGAGTCTGCAACAAGGTATTACAACAGGGATGAGCATCAGACAGGTGTATCATCCATGAGAAGTCAGTGAAAGCAGAGAAACGACAGGACAGATTAGGTTCTATAAATTAAAATGTAAAGAAACTCTGACTAAGCATCTTGAATGTCTCATGAAATAAGAGGTCACTAGAAGATTATTCTTGCTTGTGTCAACAGAATCCCTTCAAAAACAAACAGCTGTCTTGTGCTGGTACAATGATGTATCTATCCCTCCATTACTAACTTCTACATTTTTGCATTGCATCTCTGTCAAACATTGAACACAGCACCTTTACTCATTATGGTATAAATCTACTGTTGCAACCTAGAAGTCGTAAAATTGTCAATGTGTATTTATGGAGTAGGTGTATTTTATCAGGGTTTTTTTTTCCGTATCTGCTACTGGTAGTAGACTGATACCTCTTGAAATTCAGAAACATTTTGTATAAATAGATGCTTATTTAGTTGTTATTTAAATATATGAGACTGTACTATATGTGTGACTCCTGATACTTACATGCAAATTTCTTTTAAAAAGATGACTAAGCCAATTTAAACTCCATGTAAAAAAACCCATTTTTTTACTGCGACTTGCATGCCAAATTTCAGCCAGAGAGAATTTTAATACAGAACCCTTAGACTTACAAACCCTTCAGAAACAATATTTATAATGGAAATTTTGACAGCACTTTCAGTACAGGAGTGAAAATAACACCACCATAATGAAAAAGAAATGATGATAAACAGAATATATTATAAAGTAGGGTCTAACAAATTCCTAGTCTTTACTTTTGTCAGCAAGCTGACAACAGGCAGTGAAATACAAAACAAGCCTTAGCTTTTAAATAAGAACAGCCTGAACAACAAGAGGGCTTCTGTAAAATAGATTAAGAAAATATAATATCATTCTTACAGCATAAAGTAATATTTTCATTAGAAACCATAATTCACAAATTAACACTAAGAGCACTTAGAGCCAAAGAGGTGAAAAATGTGGCTATCTGTCATTTTGGTAGCATATTTTCTTCAAAAGACATTCTTATTACATTTCCCAGGCAGGTTTGTTAATGCTTTTTGTTTAAATATTCATACGTGGGCTTTTGAGTCTGACTGCTGTGAAGAGAGACAGAGGCTGGGAGCTCCTGCTGAAGCTGCTCAGAGATGTGATCCATGGCACAAGGGGGTGACAGCCACGGCAGATACACTGCCCTCCTTCCCACGGGGTCCTGGTGGCTGCCCCATGCCAGGACACACCTACATACCTACCAACAGGACACTCGGGAGGCTGGCCTATACTAGAGTTTGCAAAACAAATACTGGGAACGATCCTCTTCCCATATTTTCTAACCACATTTCTGCATTACAGCTTCCAAAGACAGAGGCAGTGGTATGTTGTGGGGCCAGGGAAAGAGATCTTCCCTTGCCTAACACAACACCAAAGTGACATCTCCATATGGAGGTGAGATGGAAACAGTCTGACAAAAACAAATGTGGCTTTTCATCAATTTTTTAGGCAGGAATAGGCCAAAACTAGCTTACACAGTGTAATATTAGCTTACACAATGAGCCTGCCTGTGTAATAATATGTTAAACATGGTATCAGCCATTCTTCTATTGGTGGAAAAAAAACGTATTTAGTGAAAACATACATCTACAATAGAATTAGACACTGTAAAAATGTGGAAGGTAAAAGATATAACCCAGACACTACTCAGTTTCCATATTTAATCTGTTTAATGTAATGCAGTATTTAAAAAATAAAATGTAAGACAAGAATTTCAGAACAATGATGCCCTACCTCTCTACTTGGCACGTCCTATGTAAATCAGCTACTCCTCAGTTAGTGATATATTTCATTTCTCATTCAAGACAAATATCAAGATTAAACCACTAGAAATATATATTGTTTCAGCTCTCTCACATAACTTCACTGCAAAGCATTCCCATTTGTTGGTTAATGAGATCTGAGTTCTTTAAAGCAAATAAATCAGTAACATCCTATATAATTTTGAAATTATCTTTGCAAGAAATGTGGTTCCTTACATGGGCACACTCAGATACACAGAGCTGTCTATTCATGCATATCTATTCCTGTCCTCCATTCAATAACCTGTTTGAGAGGCCAGGGCGTAATTTATCTGCTCTGCATGGAAGCTGTCTAGGTTTTTTAAGGTTAATATGAATAGAGACATTGTCCCTACCTCTTTGCTAGTTTAGCCTTGTGTCTGAGGATCACTCCTTTCAGGATCTGACCCAGCAGGCATTTTCATATCCAACAGTCACGTAACACATAGAGAGATACTTACTGTGTCACCTC